TTCCCTGCTCTAGAGGCCACAAGCTCGTCCAGGCGAGGCTGTCAAACACGACCGGATGAGATAATTACACAGAATAGAAGCTGGTAATGAGAGAGAAATGGGGACAGAGCAGGCTCTTAACCCAGCCCTCCTCACCCTTAGAGTAAGGAGACACTGATCTACCAGTTCCTGCATTTTAGAGCAGAGGGAGGTATTTTCTGGGTATTACTGACTCAGTTAGCAGTAAGTGGGGAGGCGGATGAGAGGAAGCAGGGAGACAGCAGGAAAAATCCAGAATAATAAATCAGGAAAATATGAATTGTTTTAATTGGCATAAATTGTGTCCAAATAATTCTCTCCAAGGAGAAGGACATTATAACACATTTGATTTCTGAGGGACCCCATGGGTCAGATACTCTGCTGCATCTGCTCTACCCCATCAGTCTCCCCGCCACACACACTCCCCCGCCTCACTTCCTGTTTGGGGAGGTCCAGGGCCCTGTGTGACCTTGCTCTTATTAACATCAATTACAGAGAGCGGACATGGCTCCATTACGCTCGAAGTGGTTCTCCTTTTAGGGGAAATGATTACAATTATTAGATAATCAATAGAGAGATGCTGAGAAAACTCTCTTTGCATTGGGTTGCTAAGCAGGGCTGCGGTGCCAGGTTACCTGGCACGAGGCAAGGGGGAGTGGGTGCTGGAGGTGGGTGGGGGGGGTGTGTAGATGCTACGGGGCGGGAGGAATAGGTGCTGGAGGAGCAAGGCTCCTTCTCCAGCACCCCAGGCCCTGGCTCCCATGGATCTTCCCTTAATTCTCTGATTTCCCAAGTATCTCTCTCAACTATAGGAGTCAATAAAGTCCTACTTCTGCTTATGGAAAAAAAATAGTCAAAATAATAGAAAATATGGACGAGCCTCTAAACTCAGGAACAGGAGGGAGGACATCTAAAATCTGAAACGAATAACCACAATTTAATTTTTAGAGAGAGCTAATTAAAAAAAAAAAGCAAGAATGTTAAAGGCTGTTGGAATCAGTAAGCTAGAAAGACTTACAGGAGAAATCAAGAGGCTCATAGGTAATTCTTAATTATCCCCCAGGGGGAGTGGGGTGGGAGACAAAATAGATGATGAAAAAGAAAATCCGAAAGCCTAATTTTAACTAATAGCCCAATCCTCTGAACTGATGGAATTAGCCTTGTGCGTGAACAGCAGCACCTCACAGAGCCTGGCTTCTCCTCACCGCGAGGCAGAGGCAGAGCAGAAGGAAGGACCGACCACAGGAGGAGAGAGAGGGCCAGCCTGGAGCGTCCACAGAGGACACAATCAGCTGCAAAGGGGTCTCTGTCCCGGCTGCAACCGTCTCTCCCCTCCAGAGTCCCCGGACACACTGTAGAAGGAACCGTTCTGACACTGAGGATTCTTTCTCTGTTTCTAGGGAACCATCTGGCCTCGGCCATTGGTTCACAAAAACTCTAGAGCAGCGATTTTCAGCCTTCTTCGTCTCATAGCACACACACACTAATGACCAAAATCTAGTGGCACACCAAAAAACATGTATTTTTTGCCAATTTCACACAAAAAATAGGTATAATTTTGACTGATTTACAGTAATAATAGTTGTCCTTACCTACCCTTTTTGTTCCAAAGTGACCTTTTAAGAAATCAGGTGCCTATAGGTGCATATAAGGATTTCTTGTGCCAAGAATCCAGTCAGATGCAACCTTATTATGCAACGTGACCAATAAGATGCAACTCTTAGTATATGACCTGTATGTGTATGGTTCAAGACCAGGCATTCACACCAGATGCTATTGTTGTGTTGGTTATTGTCATTTTTTTTTTGACAATCTAAGGGAAAAGAGGTCAGTGCCCCTGACTCAACAGTCATGTGTTGCATGTTCTAAGAGGAGAGTCGCATACTTAGGAGTCCCGGGGGGTGGGGAAGGGCGGGAATGCCGTATGGGCAAGGCTGGAAGGGTATATTCTCTCAGCCTAGCCAGCTCCATCAATAAATATGACTTTGTGAGGCTCTAGGGCCAGAGGGCCAAAGTCTCTTTCCTCTGAAGTCCTATAGCGATTGTGGTCACTGCTCCCGTGGTCCTTCACCTCTAGGGTTGTTGGCTGCCATGTGCAGGGGTCAAGCCTTAAGGCAGTCACCCATCCTCATGGCTTAGATGCTTGAAAACCCCTTGGTCAGAGAACTCACGATGAATTGTAAACTCAGTGAGGAAATAGATCAGGATACAGCGAAGAGCCATCAGGTCTGAAAATCAGAATCACCAACTTGATCAGATAAGGCAACGATTGGTAAACAGAGTTTGATTTTCATGAACACAGAAATATCGTGATAAAAAAAGCTCGGGGCTGGTCATGGTCTCTTCCCACTAGATGAATCTGTGGCAATTCAATATCCTCTCGGCAAAAAGTGGGAGGGGCACTGTCCCCCGGAGGATGCCTGGAAATTTGCTGGGCATTTTTGGTTATCCCCAGGATAACATGATTGCATGATGTGGCTATGTAATCATAGTGCGTGACAGAACTGTCCTGCCCGAAAGGTCCACAGCGCCCTCTGGAGAGAGGGTGAGTGTTTTCTTCCACATTCATTATGGAGCTGACTTCCCTCTCGGCCTGTGGGGCACAGCACTTCCCTTCCTCCTTCATTAGGAGCACTGCCAAAACCGGGTCCCCTTTCCCTGAGGGCCCAGGAAAATGCACCTCCCGGGGCAGGAAAGGGCCCTTTAAGGGCCTCCGTGCTGGGTCATCCCCCCCCCCCAAACACACACACACTACCCCTTGGCATCAAATATGAGAGAGGGGAGCCCTGTGCCCCAAGCCATGTTTAGGCAAGATGCACCCCAGTTCCAAGCCTCTTCATCCCACACCCCTGAACACAAGGGAAGAGGAGGAAAGGGAGGTGGAGCAGGTTAGAGAGCGTCACTGTGCTGTGCAGGGTGACTAGTTCTCCACATGAACTCTGACCTACATGCAGGTTGGGGCAATTTCTCTCCATGTTATTGTTGCTATAACCCCAGGTACTGACTGGGCTTTGGGCCTGGATACAGCAAGGCCCTCAGAACATCCAGAAAAGCAGAGGCCGGCCTCTAATTTCTCGGGGCAGGCACACTGCGACCGAAGAGATAAGAGCTGGGGTGTGGGGATGTCATGTTGACAGTTTAGCCCTGGATTTAAGCTTCCCTCTAAGATTCCAGAAGTGAGCCATGGAACCCAATCAAAGTAAACGGTAGGGCTGAACGACACTTCTGTCAAACTCGTTTGAATTTCCTGCTGCAAGGTGTCCATGGCTTGTGTTTATTCATATCTCCATGGCAACTCTTCTATCTTTTCCAGTCCACATCCTGTCCCTGGAAATCACAGGACTGGCTGGGACACATGCGCTGGGCCCGGGGGTGTGGGCTGCAGAATCTGGGTCAGAAGTGACGCTCAGCACAGCCCGGGGGTGGGGGGCAGATGCTGCTGGCCCCACACTTGTCCTCGGAGGGGCTGCATGTGGGGCCGAGCTGGGGGAGGGGCCAGGCTGAGCATCTGGGGGAGCAGATGGGCTGGAGAAATGGCTGCTGGAGATGGTGACAGAGGCTTGGCAAGTGGG